ATGTACTCATGATGTAGTTTCAATCTTGTAGTAGCACTGAACTGCCGCTCTCACCAAGATGTTTAGTTGAAGTGCATGCACGTGTACGTGTAGCTACGGGTTTCCCAACTCTAAGTGTTCCCCGGACCGGTATTACTAGCCTAGCCACCCTTTGTGTCGTAACACTTCTCTACTTCTCGTCCAGACCAGGCATTCCTGTTCGAGATCTGTCGCACGTCTCAAGAGCGCGCGACGTTTCAGCTTCCCAATGTGCTTCAACCTGTCACCGGAACAGATTGTCATTTGCGTTTCAGCTTGATTTCCATCATCATTTTCCAATCAATCCAGTCCGCAAGCAGGTTGTCGCTGTTCAGTATGTCAAGCTGCTCGTCTCGTGAGGAACCTGCGGATATGAAGAGTGCAAATGAGGGCGCGATTGCCATGTGATCCGCGCTTGGCCCTAGATACATGGATGGGCTTATGGATGGGCTTACGTACATGAAATCCGAGGACAGGTGACGGTGTCGGGGGCACAGTTACTTTCCCTCGATCGATTTTTCCATATTTAGGCCGGTCCAAGTGCGAGGACGTTCATAAAATCCGATTAGCGTTCGAACGCTGCATCTGCAGATAAAATCTGATAAACTTATTTCATCCGCATGTACATAGCGTACGAGTACATTCTGTTAGATTGCAGGTATTTAAGGTGGTCGTTGTGTGTAAGGTTGTGTACTCTAATCCAACTGGGGAAAGGCCAAACTCAAACACGTGTTCAGCAGAGCTCGAGCACATGGATTTCTGAATCTAACTCGCTGTAACCGGATGAAGATACGTTCCTGCAACAGAACGTCCAGTGATCAAGTACATAAGCATTGAGTGATGAACACCGCGACCCCAACGCCACAAGCCGTGTACAGCACGTTGCTGCGTTTCGGATACAATAACACACACACACACACAGACACACACACACACACACACACACACACACTGCTACCATGTACCATGCATGCACAGAATATAACCACAAACCAGTACGTCTGAAAAACATACATGTACATGTACAATCGTCATGTAGATTGTACATTGCTACCAAAATACGTCATTGTACCCACGCCTACGGATCGTGGAGCCAGGGGCGATGTCGTGGAGGTAGCACGAAACTCTCCAAGCTGACTCTTTGCTATGGTTAACTGTTACTTAGAGACTTGACGTTTTCTTGTAGAACATCTCGTGAAATACGATACTGAAGTCCGAGTGTGCATACCGACATGTTGCGACAACGCCTCGCGCACCATCTTGAATTTGATCATGTGCCCTGTTGTTACTTGTTAGCAGCAATATAATGGATTCTGACATTCTAAAAGTGACAACTCTCATACGTACACGCACACGGACTCACTTAGACTTTTACTTTTAGCAGCAAGTACATGTACATATGTACCGGTAAATCAGTTAGCACTTGTCAGTGTGTTGGTCACACCAGCAATATCACAATAAAATCATCACGTCTTTCATACGTTCTAATTATTTCACACATGAACACACACACACTTAGCTTCATATCCCCTGCAGCTACCTATTTCAGTCCGGAATCATCCTTCTAACGTAACATACCGGTACATGTCTCGCCCCCCCCCCCCCCCCCCCCGCCCCACACCTTGTCACACCATGAACATGCACATGTGGGATTATGTGAGGCATCCCCGGTACCCTTTGTGAAGTTTGAAGTTTGTACGCTAACACCACACTTTCCACTAGAAGATACTGTAATTATGCTGTGGTGAGGAAGCTGAGCGTACTAAAGTCTCAGCATGGCCTAAAGCCAATAAAGGCTAAAGCCAGTAAAGGCTAAAGCCAGTAAAGGCTAAAGGCCGGCTAGTCTGGTAACTCATTACTCGTATCGGTTCTACGCTGCAGTTCAAAACAAACACCGAAGTGAACAACCCTACAGTCACGGACGAGTTGTCCGCATGCGCCGTCTATGGCACGATTCAGAGATTGTTTTTCACTACACAACATTGTAGTATTCCTTCCCTGCTACTTTGCGAAGGAATTCCTGAACCACTCGGAGGTAATTGGAATCAAGATCGAAATTAGCATACGTTTCTTACAACTGTCAAAGGGCTCTTCAGCACTTGTGCCAGCGTCTCCACTCCTCAGTCGAGGTGCTTATCTGCTTGAGGGTCTGCTCACTGGTGCAACGTCACTCGTCAGGGCAAGGAACCGATGCCATGATCATGTACATGTACTGTGTCTGTGCTTTTGCCTTGCACTATCGATCTCCGGGTGTTTGTTCGGTCTCCGTCTCCCTCTAGTGGCGACTGTACTAGTACTAGTAGTACCTCACTCGCAGCTGAATCATAACATTGCAATGATCCCACCTCACTCCATCCAGATAACTGTCCCCTTGGACATTCTTCAACATCACCACAAGTCCGGGTACTAGTACCAGTAGTTGGGTGTATCGTCTAGGGAGGAGACAGCATTGCACCATAGCAACCGCGGTCACTGACTCACTGCTCGACCTGACCCGGAAATCCCAGTTGAGGAAAGTATTAGTTACCAGGTTACGTGCTTGACTCAACAAAGTGACCTAGGACATGAAGGCGTGAAGGCGTGAACTACATGTACATGTACATGACGTGTATGGACTGTCAGAAACTCAGAAAAAGAAAGAAAAATTTAATTTAATCGTTTACATGTACTTGAAAACCAACTGTGAACTCCATCCAGCAGGCTAGTCTAAGATCCACGTCAACTGGAGAGTACATTCAGTACAGCGACCATTTCCTTTACCGACACCTTCAATTCAAATTCATGGTAACAGAAAGCATTCCTCGCTGACGCCGACTGGTATCTTTGAAGGAGCACCTCTGTGATCAGAAACAAACCCTGCCCCACCTACTGGGGTGGTCAAGAACAGATATACCGACATGTCATGCATACGAGTATTCAATCAGCTGCATACTGTATGAGCCTATAGTATCGCTCTGCTTCATACCAGGGAGTAGTAAAATACTGGTATTTGACCTCTGGTAATTTACTACTCTCTGCTTCATACACCGTCCTGCTTGTTTAGTAGCAGCACAAACACCATGTGCTAAGGTAACGTGTGGACAAAATTGCAATCCAGTGGAATGACATGTGACAGCGGCCAGCACCCCAAATAATATGCAAGTATCATCATCGTGATCGGTGGGAAATCAATATTTAGTTGGATCCCAGTCGCGTCTTGGTTGGTTTTTATTTCACTTCGCACATTCTTCGTCTTGCTTCTTCTGCTGTCATCATTCGTCCTTCCCCCTCCCCTTGTCCGTATAGCTACATTGCTTGTGTGAACAAAGACATGTAGGAGCATAGATTCCAAGTTTGAATTGTGTACAGTGGATTTTGAACCAATGCCATGGACTCTATATAGGGTGCGAACCTCATAATTATACATGTAGGGGCTGAACTGCCTACCATTAGTAGTGCCAGTACTGAGTCCTACATACATGTACATGATTGTACATGTATGTGGATGCTGAACTTCAGACCTTCTCCGGTTATTGCTTCCGTGTTAATGCTAAAAATTCAGGTGCTATGCACGAGTACTATACAGAGGATGGGAGACTGTTTTGTTTTCAATTTAGGTTTCACCCACTGGATGATCAACCACCTGTCAGCACATTATGCATACATGCACAGTCGTCCCTCTCTAATCTGGCACTTTATAAACCAGTACCCTCCATAAACCAGCACAATTTTCAGTAGCCAAAATGTCCTCTTCATGCACATTGCAGCAGTAGATCAGATTTGTTAATCCAGCACCCTCCCTAATCCAGCAGATTTCCGTGGCACAAATGGTGCCGGATTATAGAGGGACTACTGTACATGTATGCATGTACATTCATCACGTTCTCGGAGCACTCCCTTCTCATCAAACTCCCAATCCATTTGTCTTTATCTCTCTATAACCCTCCTCCATTCTCACTCTAATCTTTCGTCAAAACTGCACGGCAATCAGCCTCTACTTTCGCCTCAGCATCATGATTTCATTCATCTTGGGCACCCTGTAAGAAGAAGATCTTAGGGTCTGTTGGGAATGCCCAAGTAAAATAATAAAATACAATACAAATACAAAAAAATCTTGATACTGCAATCTTTGTACTTGTTTGCGTACTTGTTTGCACTCATATCTTGGAATAACTCGCAAACTAACAAGTTTCCTGGTTTCCTCCCCTCTCTCCTCTCTTTCCTACCCTTAGAGTTCTTGCTCTCCCGCTCCCGGGATCCCCGCCCTTCCACTTCCCATTCTGTTTCCTTTGGTGCACATGTGCAGCTGTGATTGATGCCGAGACCCTTGGTCGGCTGAGCTTCACAGATCCCACCCACTCCGTCCTGCTGGATATGTACCATTGTGTCGAGTTCTCCTCCTCATTTTAGTTCAACATGCAGTGAGTGTTCAATAGTAAAAAACAAAAAAAACATTGTACGTGTACAGGCTATACAAAGCTAGGTTGTCCCTGTTCTGCAAACGTCCTGACCACTGCAAGGTAGCAGTTTCCAATGCGACGGTAAGACTCGTTGGCACCTCAGATCTTCATAGCTGTGACCTCCTGAGCAGACAATATGAAAGGCTTTAGTGTTGACGTGCGCGGGGAACAGTGTGCAGAAGTGGCAGTGCTTTCCAAGCAAATAATCCGGGTTTTCACGTCGTCGACCCATGCACCTCCTGACTTTGTTCGCAGACGTTTTAGTTGTTAAAACAACTCACCTATAATTTGGGGAATTTGACAAATCAACTAGGGAGCGTAATTTTTTTATAATATTTACAAACAGCTTGCTGTCTAGTAGTAGTGTCTACAGCATTGGGTAATTTTTACAATACAAATCCTGCTGTCATCTAGATGCTGATACATGTACAATAGGAAATCCTTGACATCGTAGAACGTTGGGTACTTGTACTTAGACTGGAGCGGTACCGTCCGCAGACAGAATCAGGGCGCATGTTCGTGATAACGAGAAACCCACGTCCCTGAGCAGCATGAATATCTTCTTTGGTCCTATCGATGTAAGCGTGAGTGTGACTATAAGCGAGTGAAAAGGTATGATTGTGAACAAGAGGCTGGAGCTTATTCATTCTTGTAGTTGATCGCACTCTTGCCAGAACATGCCAATTGTCATCTTGAGGTGATAGTAATCGTGGCGTGGAATAGTTGTTGCTGCATTCATTACATGTAGTTTCGTAGTGGTTCATCTCGGTAGCATGCTGTCCAGATTGGCAATACAGTAAGAGGCGACGGCCCAGAGTGCTGCACACACGTCCATCTCATCCGGGTCCAGTACGGTCATGGTGTCGCCGTTGGAGTGATGGAAGTAGAAGTATTTCTCGTTCTCGTTGTCCAGACTTCCACCGGGAACACCGTTCTTGAACCACCAGTCGATATCCGTGCCGTCCGCACCGTCAAACACAGTGCTGGCGTTGAACGGTGCCATGTACTTCATGATTTCGGTGACGATTGCCTTTGCCTCCTTAGATCCAGTAAACCTCAGTCCTGTAGCCTGGAAGACGCCGCTATCGGACTCCATCACAATGTCCATGTTATTCGAATCGTTCTTGTGATCGTTGTAGTAGCGATCCGATCCGAAGCCGCCGAACTCTTCCCCCGTCCAAAGGACAGCGCGCATTGTGCGTTTGGGACGCAATCCTAGAGCACGCACGGCCGACAGCGCCTGCCAGGAAATGAATGCGCCGCCGCCGTCGTCCATCGCACCTTGACCAACATCCCAGCTGTCCAGGTGCCCACTAACCAGGACGATCTCGTCGGGATGGGTGGTGCCCTTGACCTCCGCCACCGTGTTCATGGACTGCACCTCGCCGTCCAGTGCAGCGTCCATGTGCAGACGAATGCTGATGCGCGTGCCTCTTGCCTGCATGCGGGCCAGCATCTGCGCGTCTTCGACGGTGATACACGCCGTGGGTATCTTCTCGATACCATCCTGATAGGTCATTGCACCGGTGTGTGGGCTATTGATGGAGAAAGGCGTGACGGAGCGTACCAGAGCCGCGATGGCGCCGACCTTGGCCGCTTCGGACGCCCCGTTTCCGCGGTACTGCACTGATACGCCGTAGCTGACCCAGTCTTGGTTGAAGACCACTATCTTACCCTTGGCTTCGCTGCTGCGGTTGTGCAGCTCGTCGAACGAGTTCACCACCAGCACGTCGGCAGTGAGTCCATTTCGCGGTGTACCAACGCTTAGCCCTAGACCCAGCATGGCTAAATTCTGAACCCTGGGTTCAAGGAGCGTGGCTGACTCCAGACCTCGGATCCAGTTGGGTACCATTGCGGGCTCCCCGTGGACATTATCCAGTCCGTCATGTTTCATCGTGCCAATCATGTACTCAACGGCATGCTGCATAGTGAGAGAGCCAGCCAGGCGATTACCAAACGTATCTGTGAACGTGGCCAGTCGATCATAGACTTGGTGCTTGCCAGCCCCGGCCGTCAAATAGCTGATCAGCTTCTGCACATCGTCAGCCATGCCGGCAATCTCTCTCTTGATATCCTCCGGGACGGTAACAGTACCGTCGCTGCTTTGAGCCAGTACTGTCTGGGCAGCGCAGACAAGGAACGTCAGAGCGCAGGTCCGATAGAAGCCCGCCATTGCTTTCCTACCAGTGTTTCCGAAAGACGCTGAGAGCTGCGGCAAGATACCCCAGCAGCTCCAAGACGATTTCGAACCGGTGGCTCTCCGGCTAGGTGCTGAAATGGATCATGTTCATAAAGTCATTCAATCTTCCACACCCATGCTTGAACACTGGGATTCGCCACACTAACCATCAACTGTATACACTCTACTAGTACCGGTATTCATTGACACGACAGTGTGGTATCATGCGCCAGTGCACTGTGCAGTCCCATGTCTGCCTGCAATGTCTTGAAGCTATCACATAACACAGTAGTACTGTCTGTTCCGAACACCTCTCTAGCTGGCTACGCTGACAGACAGTGTGCCGATTCATGTATCAACTGAGGGGCACGTGACTTCTGCAAGACCTGATTACCGGAGACACCTGCGCAGTGCGCAGGCAGGCAGGCAGGCATGATTTATCATGCATGGACCATCATCATAGGGAAACAATGGCTCCCAGCACGACCTACCCCTTGCCCCATACTCACCAGCCAGAGATCTGTCCCTCCTCATCCCCTGGAGATCATCCTTCCCTGCCTGGTGACTTGCAGTGTTAGCGCGAGATGACGCATTTCAGCACTGAGGATTTCACAGCGCTGCGTGCTATCCGTCCATTTACAACAGTGTATCAGCAAAATTTACCTGACATATCTTGTAGTATTTTAAAGTCAATGTCTTCATGACACCACACAAAAGCACCAGTAGCGAGAAGCCCCATGCAAAGGAAGCGATGCGCTGGAGATCAGTACACGAAGGTCATGTATTGTTGCATTGCAAGCTTGCCAGTTTTCAAGCCCAACGCCATGAACCATATATCGCAACGTTGACTATAGACCTGGTCCATTGATGCTCTTGTTAATATTTCATACTATTCTCTCCCTCCACGACTTCTCCCTCCACTACTTCTCCCTCACACCCTCTCTCTCTCCCTCTCTCTCTCTCTCTCCTCTCTCTCTCTCTCTCTCTCTCTCTCTCTCTCTCTCTCTCTCTCTCTCTCTCTCTCTCTCTCTCTCTCACACACACACTATTGCTTTACCCAAGTGGGTCCAGTGTCATTAGGATTTTGTCTGTTTGGGATTTACTTCTATAAAATTACAGAATACAACAACATGTGACATGTACCAGTAAAATGTGGAATAATCGAGTACCAAGGAGTTGGTCTATGTAAATCCCTGTGTGTAACCCATGGCATCCACACCAGACAATATCGTATGCGGCCAATGCTATGTACATTTCAGGGGCGTCGGAACCGGTGCGGCAGGTGCGGCCAAAGCCGCACCAATAATTTTTTATTTTTATTTTATTTTTATTTATTTTTATTACGAAGTCTGAAGAAAATGTTGAACGGCCTCTGCTGGGATGACGACTACACCATAGCTCAGTGGTTAGAGCATCGCTGGCTACAAGCTAGGCCTGGCGGATAATGCCGGCAGAAAAATTGGCAGAATTCGGCACTTTTTCTGGTAAGTTTCATGCATGTTTGGTATGTGGATAAAGAAATGGAGCAGAATTCGAGGAATTGCCCGCCATAAGGTTTGTATGGTTCTGCCAATTTCCCGTCTGCTCCGGGAGCCTTATGTGCATTGAGATTACGAAGGATCTTTACAACGTCGGTGACCGTAGGCTGCGAGATAGCCAACATAGAAGTCTGGCGATGGGGACCAGATGGGCAGTGAAGGTGTGTACGGATGGGGTCTGAAACAGTTTGTGCAAAGGTGCGGGAGATACCAATGTGATCAGTCCCTCCTAAAGTGTCCTTGGTATGTCTGTGAAGCAGGCCATTAAGTAACTGCCATTGGCCCCTGGGCTGTTTACAGTTATTTTTACATTTCAACCTTGTTGGTGGCTTGTCGACTCTTGTACAGGTACCATGTTTTACATCGACAATGCGGTGTATCATCAGCATGCATATTCTTTTTATTATTCTATATGGCTTTTTAGGCCCAATTTTCAAAAAATTTCCCGGGGGAGGACGGTCCGACCCCCGGACCCCCTCTCCCACTTTCGCCGCACCAATGTTAAACTCCTTCCGACGCCCCTGCATTTACACGTACAATGTACAAGAGTACATAACCCCTGGGGACACACGAGTCACAGGAAAACGACGCGTCTTGATTGTCGTAACTTAAAGTTTCATGCCATATAGCAATCTTCAGACAACTGATTACGGTGATGCACAGCTAGTATGGTATTTATACAGCAGCATAGGAAGGAATCTGTGAAGGTTTGAGGTCTGGTGGTTGCAAAAGTCCTGGATGGAAAATGTGCCAAATTCACCCCTGGGGACTTATACATTGTACTTGATACAATGTACATGGTAGATACGTCGATCCACGAAGCCCAAGCTATTGCATGTCATGTAGGCTGATATACATGTAAGTTAGCTCAAAGCAGACTCAGCGGAGGACGTTCAGGTTGGTTGTAACTCTGAGTTTCATGCCGCTAGGCAATCATCAGACAACTGATACTCGGGTCTACCCAACAGTATGCTTATAAACACATAGGGCCACAAGCATAAACAAATTTAGCGCTAAATCTGGTGTGAGGTATGGGGAGAAAGCTGGCGCGGGCCAAGGCGCGACAGTGGAAGTGCCAGGAGGGTGGCGGGCAACAGGCAGGTGTGAGCATGAAAGCGCGGAAAAGAGGCGATGGGGAGGCAGTGTACAGCAGATGGGTGGAGGTGCCAGGAGGGTGGCGGGCAATGGGCCAGTGAGATCGCTACAAGTAGGGAGTCGTTTGGTGACGGGCAGGCGTGAGCAGGGTGGCATCGCCAACATCAGGCCAAGGGATTGTGTTATTAATAATAATGGGTGCTCAGGCAAAGTGCAGTGCAGTACTTGGTCAGTTCATTTGATAGGTGTGAAATGTGCGAGGCGGAACTTATTCTCATGCCTGCATTTCGAGACCATCTCAGACCGCTTGTTGAGTAGGAGCTTCTTGGGTGTAGTCAGGATGTGGAATTTTTCCGCAGTACAAAGATTGCATTTTTTTGACTCACATCTGTATGATCGGCTCTTCTCCCGCACCTTCCATGTAATGGTCAACGGCTTTCCCTCGCTCTTCAGCTCCCATACATGTTTTGCGAGCTCAGTGCTGTTTTTGTATTTTTCATGACGCATGGAGGTCAGGTGGTTGGCGTGACGGGCTTTGAAAGGTGTCTCTGATAGGCCGATGTAAATCTTGCTGGTAGATTCTGCAGTGGCCTCATACACAATCTCCTTCGGCTGGCACTCTCCGCGCAGCGGGCAGGATTCCTTGATTCTACAGTTGCATGCCTTGGTTTGCTCTGGCTCTCGCAGGTTGCTCTTGTTGTGGCTGCTGATGACCGCTCCCATGTTGGGCATGCAACTGTAGCTCACTTTCAGAGTGTTACGGTTGAAAATCTTCCCGAACTTGGATGTTTTCGGGAAGTGCCTGGAGACAAGGCTCAGGAACCTACCAGCGACGTTTGTGCTAACGTTTTTGGAGTAGGGAGGGTTGAACCAAATGACCTTCCGGCTGCGGTTCTTCCTGCCCCTGTGCTCATGTGCCTCGGGCTGAAAGCTCAGCACTTCGGTGTATCCACTGGCCTTTAATGCGGTCTGGTACACGAGGGCTGCATGGTTGAATGCCTCCGCGTCGCTCGATATAGCGGAAAGGCGCTTGTTGACAGCAGCAGGGATGTTGTTGGTGATCCCAGGCGGGTGGTTGGACTGCTTGCTGACGTAGAGCGGGTTGTCATTTGGCTTTCGAAAGGGTTGAAATTTCCCGGTGTCCAGGTTCATGGTGACATCCAGGAAATCCACCACCTTCAAGTTCGCTTCGATGGTAATTTTTAGGTCGAAGCACTTGAAGGTTTCCGTCAGCTTTTTTCTGAGGCGGTCTGCAGCCTGTGGGCTGGTGTCCTTGAGGGCGGCCAGTCCATCATCTCTGTAGAGGCCGATAGCGGATCTATCGATGAGGCTTGAGAGCTGGTTGAGAAGAAAGGCGCCCACAAGTTCGCACGTCTCGGCTTGATCGTAACTTCCCATTGTTACGTCAAACATGTCGCCCTTGTCCTTCATCCAGGGGCGGCCATCGTGGAATAAGAGCGATTTCCGGGCGTGAAAGATGATGTCCATTTCACGCGGCTCGATCGTGGTGAATTGCTCCGCGAACGATAAGGCCTGACGGAGGAGCTGCTCACCAATTGACGGGTAGAATTCTACCACGTCAAAGCATAGGAACGTGTGGCGCTGTTTGTCGGGTATCCAGTGCTGCCAAATAATTTTCGCCCAAAATCGGACACCCTTCACCGCCAAGGCTGGCCACATGGTGCGAATTTTTCTCCTCGGCAATTTTTTTACAGTGAATTCAAAATATCGCCTAAAACACCATGAAAATTCGCTTCGTTGCCATGGTAACCCCAGAGTTGTTGTCATGAATTTTGTAATGATGAGTGTGGTCGCACATTGACTCTGTACAGACTGTCAGCGTACATGCCATCCAGCCTGATCCAGGCATGTTACTTTGCACTTCCACAGCCAAGCGCTAGCCTTTTTAGAAGCAAATGTACAGTGATTTGTGCCTTCAGACTGGGCTGAAAAGTGAAAGTACAGGACTTCTGCATAGGAAAGTAATGATCTCCGACATTTTGGCTGCTTTTCGGACGTTTCCCTTTTCGGACCAGTTTTCGGAAGAGCCTTCAAAAATCGGACACTGTCCGAAAAATCGGACGGTTTGGCAGCACTGGGTATCTCCTTGAACCACTCGATCACTGACATGGTGCTTCTCCATAGGTTCACGGCCGTTTTGCGACGCACAGCAGCCACGATCTTCTCCAGTATAGCCTTGCTCACCACACCCACTTCCGATTTGGCTGGGTTAATGAGTCTGCAGGGCAGCGCTCTAGCGAAGTTGTTTTTGTGATCTTTCAGTGTTTTAAATGCTTCTGACTTAGCCAGTACATCCATCCTGTTTTGAAGATCTAGATCCTCTGCGATCTCCTTCGCCTCGCTGTTGACTTCATCGTAAGCATTCTCAGGTGCGATCTTGTAGTTTTTGGTGATGTTCTCCTTCATCAGCTTGCAGTATTGCTCTTTTGGTACTTGGTACAAATTCCGGATTTTATCGGCTTTCACGATGATGTCCTTAGAGTTTTTGAT